ATATTAAAGTTAAAATAAACGAAATATAGCTTAAATTTATTTGGTATTCTTTAAATATATTTCAAATTAATTTAATCTAATCCGTCTTTTCGTTAACATTATTATACAGTGTGTCCCCGGATTGTTCTTTACAGGAGGAGAAACTCTTTTATTATTTACATTATGAGAAAAATGCATTCTTCATAAAAAAATTTGTTTGTTCTAAAATGGTTGCAGTTAAATCCCGTTTACACTTTTTCACATTTCCATACCCTTTTAGAGAAAATTAAAGAAAAAACATGAAAATATAGTTGAATTTTATAGGAAGTCCTCAAAATCAAAACGCGTTTTTGTGGTAATATAATTTTGTTTTCATTCTTTCAGAACTTTAATTAACGTCATATTTTTTGCTGTTTTAAAATAAAAGGAGATGTTAAAGAAGCACAAAATTTATTTAGTTCAATGCTACGGAAAGGGTGATAATAGTTATAGGAAAATGTGATACGTTACTAACAGCAAAAAATATGAGGTTATTCAAAATTAATAATAACCATCTATCCAAGAATGAAATCGAAATTATATTACCATAGAAACACACGCCTTCTGACTTTTGAACTTCAAAAAAGACTATTGAAAAAATTCAACCATATTTTCATGTTTTTTTTTTCATTTTCTCTAAAACGGTATGGAAATTTGGAAAAGTATAAACAGGATTAACCGTTTTAAAACAAACAAATTTTTTGTGAAGAATGCATTTTTCTCAAAATGTCAATAATAAAAAAGAGTTTCCTCTTGTAAAGACAATCCAGGACATACTGTAGATGTTAGAAATAAGACAAATACAAATATAACACGGAGTTCTTTAGGGATGTGTTATTATACTCCCTTTTTGTTTAATATACATCGGCAGCATATTCTGCAGATAAAAATAAATAAAAAAGATCTTATATTTGTATGTCCTAAAATGGCTTCGTTTCGAAGATACAGGTTGTAGAAGTTGCATTTTTATTTCAATTTTTTCCTGATAATTCTTAAACTAAATTCGGTATTTGGATAAAAATAGCTCTTATTCGCTATTATATGTTTTTTTTAACATGAGAAATTTGATTTCGATGTGACTCCTACTTTTTTAACTGTTTTGAAGAGTAATAACTTTTCGTCCGTCCTTGTATTACACTAGGTACTGATTGAAAAAATATACATTTGTTCCTTTTTCTACGTAAAAAATATATCTTGGTAAAAATCACTGCGAGCAACCGTTTGATATAGCAAACGTCGAGATATTTGGATTTTTAATAAGCAATACATCATCAATGACAAAAAGTAAAGATTTTCACTAGAAAGCTTAAAAATTAATAATATTTTGTTGATAAAAGATTATTAATTCGCAAGATTAATAAAAAAAACTTAAGAGGTTGTGATTATTGTGTGACCGATTATCGCTGAAGTTGAATTTTAGAAGGATAAATATTCTACCACCGGACTACCGGACATACAAATATATAGACAAAGCGTTATAAACAGTCAGTCAATAAGTTTAAATACCTGGGATTCTGACTAACATCAGAACTAGACCCCGACTTACATGTTAAACCGCGTATAGAACAGGCCAGATCAATGTTTAATAAAATGAGAAATTTGTTATCCAAATGCTCAATCTACATAATATTTACTCAATCCTCTTATACGGCTGTGAAATCTGGACGCCCAAAGTGAGACGAATGGAAACTTTTGAAATGTGGATTTATATGTTTTTGACTAATGAAGACTAATAAACGTACTCTGAACAGATCATGTACGCAATGAGGAGGTTCTTGGAAAGGTTACCAAAAAAAGGGAATTACTTACAAATATAAAAAACTAAAAACGGTATACTTGGGCCATGTCATGAGGAACGATAGAGCTAAATAGAAGGCAGAAGAGGACTTGGGAGACGCAAACACTCGTGCTTGAAAAACATAAGAGGTTATTGGATTGGTCTAGACTCACACGCACTGTTTCAAGCTGCACAAGATAGACAATGTTTCGCCGAGATTATTGCAAATCTTCATTGAAGATGCTACCAAAAGAAAAAGAAGGTATAAAATGCAATTATAAATTTGTAACACCGTATCTAATGATGTCAACTAGACAATCTGAATAGTTTATTATAGTCTGTCTAACAATAGAACTCTGACAATGATAGCTATTGTCTGTCAATTTAATTTAAAGGTAAATTGTTTGGTCTATCAATTCTTGAATGTTGTTTGCCGAAATCGTTCTTATCCTGGTTGGACAGACATTAGCAATAATTGTATACGAAATAAGGATGATTCTGTAAAAATATGTTATGGAATTGTGCAAAGAAGTTCAAAATACAATGATAAAAATTAGTGATAATACTGTATCTTAAATCCCATTTACATATCATTCACATATCAATTCACCCACAATCCACAAAAGAGGTATTATTGGAAGTAGGTTAATGGGCATTAACGAAGAGTTCTTGTAATAAGAATAAAGAACAGGTATATATCAGGCGTAGAATATCGTTTTTGTGAATCTGCTGATGAAGATAATTGTAATGCTGATGATGATTATGATGATAGAGTTTGGTTAATACAGTTCTGTTCTTGAAAACGATTTGTAAATGAACATGGAATCGTTATAATACGCCGTTTTATAAATATAAGCATTGGTAGTCTAAAATTAGTCTCTTATTAGTGAATCTGAATGCGAACATTACATACATTGGAATATGGGGCTTAATGATGAAGGATAACATCTTGCGGTTTCGGTGAACTATCCGAATAAAAATTTGAAGAAAATGAAGCATATTTCGTGTTAAAATGATTTTTTCTTTTAGTTCATTCAAATCTGATTGTGCGGAAAAACATGCTTCCGATCAAAATATTCTAAAAAATATTCCTATTTTTTCTTCTATAACTGATTACAGATAATGGCGCGGGCTTGTATACCCACGCCTCTAGCTGTACTCCGTAGCGGCAGCAGCTAGAGTACTCCATAGCAGCCCGCTCCTATCCATTGACATGGAGTTATACGCATGTGACTTGATTGCTTTGGTTTAAACCTTTTTCAGCTTCATTCAGAACCTCGCAATTAGTGGAATAAATTAGTGGTTTCAATTACACTTTATACTTTTTAGTTTACAATCATCTACAATGTCTTAAAAACAATTAAAATTGCAACAGCTTGTGGTGATCAGTTGTATCCATAGAGAAAGTCTAATATTTAGCTTATAAAACAATAAACTTATCATTTCTAACCACAATTTCTCTTGGCGGATGATAATCAAAGGCGAAAATGACATTCCTCGCAATTTTTGAAGTATAAAGCTTGATTTTCATGCGTCCGTTATACGTTGATACGTTGCATATACGTTAGTCCGACGATGCTCTGATTGGTCATAGCGTTTTCGCGCCACTTTTCATCCGTAAATATTTTACTTTAGCCCGTCAACGGACCCGTTCATACGATAACGTTTTAACACTTTTTTGACAAATTTAATCTACCCTTAATACAAATATAAGTAAAAGAGCAACATCGTTATGGAAACGAAAATATAAAATAACACCAACGTATATCCGATAAACGGAGGCATGAAAATGCAATAAATTTAAAAACTGCGTTATTTTCTAACCAATCAAAGTCTTTAAATTTTACCAATAAAATAAATATCGTATCAACGTATCGTCGGACAATGGATGCATGAAAATCAAGCTTAATTGTGGAAAAGTTAAAAGTTTGTTATCTTTTTCCATTAGTTGAAGCTTCATTCAAAACCACGCAATTAGTGGAATAAATTAGTGGTTTCAATTAGCGTAGAAGTTTGTTCCTTTAATTTCAATGTAAACATTCAGAACGTCAAAATTAGTGGTAGACATTTTCAATTAGTAGAAAGAGTTATCAAACTTTTAATTTTTCCATTAATTATACTTCAAAATTTGCGATAAATGTCATTTTGGCCTTTGATTATCTTCCATCAAGAGAAGATAGTGGTTAGAAATCAAAAGTTGATTGTTTTATAAGCTTAATATTATAATAAGTTTCAATAACTAGAGAATAGGTAACTCATGCTATTTTTGAAAATCGGAGATTTTCTCAGTAATGTTTTGGCTGTAACATGGCTGTAACATTTTTTTTACACGCCCTGTTTAAAATCATAAAATTAAGTGTTTTCCTCTCTGACTCATATTTTATTACAAAACGCAACGATAAACTGAGTTGATTGCATTATTAGGAAAAATTGAAAAAGATATGCATGTGTATCGTTTAAAAAATAATACAGCATAATTTTCAACGGCTTGTATTGCAGTAGCATTTAAAAATGGCGTATTTAGAAACTTATTATAACGAATTAAATTCGTTAAACTGAAATTCATCCGATCTATTATTATCACAGAAATTTTGTAATTTTAAAATCTATTTTCTCTTAAATATAAGTAAATTTGATGTTGTAAAATATATTTTACAGTTGAATAGAACATAGGCAGAATTATTTAAGACAATAAGAAAGAGAATAACAAAAGACATCAAAAACTACAATGAACAAATTGTACAAACAGCAATAGAACACAGAAAAAGCTACAATAACGCTAAGAGATCCCTCATAATCGTAAAAAAAGCAGCTAATCGCATTAACAAACAAGAATATCAGAATAACAGACAAAAAAATAAAAATAAGTATGGTAACAAAATTCTACAGCGACCTATACATGGTGTCAAAAAAATAATGTATCTAACATTGGTGGGTGATTCTACAGATAAAAATAAAACATAAAGTTTCTATGAACATATGCCCTAAAATGCTCCCCGAAGAAGTTACAGTCCTAGAAAGGTTAAATAAAAATGATATATTTTGTTTATTTTTCAGAACATTGGTAAACCGTTTTTCCTGAAATTTGGTACTCTTTTACACATTTTAATGCCAAAGCGAATGGCGATCGTGCAAAATTCCGTAACAGCCCTGAAAGGGTACTTTCCATTAGGATAGAGGGTACTACTGGTGGTAGTTCTTTTATCCTGAGTCTGGCGGGACTTTTTCGTGATTGTAAATGACAGCCACGAAAGAAAAGACACGTCTTTCTATGAAATTATAGTACTACTAGCGTATACCCGCTACTTCGTAAGCGTCGAATTAATCATTTGTAATGGTGATGATAAAGCAAAGCAAGAATTTCCATTAAAATACAAACTGGATAAAATTTTCTCACATTTATGTCAGCATGAGAAAAAACAATATGGCGATATTATTATATAACTTGGTAATATTTGAGGGGTAGTTTCTCGTTGTGATTTGACTTTCGAAAAATCCGTTTGCCAAAAATTAGCTTTTTACGTCAAGCAGTATAAGCAGAATCGTGGTTAATCAATAACCCAACTTTTTGGAACACCCTGTATGATATTTTTAAAAATTTCAAAATATGTAAAAAAACAAAATGAATTATGCGTGTCCAAGCGTTTTCCCGAAAAACTCACCGGTTTTTAAATAAAAAATATTCTAGTATTTGAGGGGTGATTTCACCCCCTAAGAATTCAAGTTTCGAAAAATCCCTTCTTATCGAACCTCTACACCCTAAAGTCAATCCGTTTTCCAAAAATCAGCTTTTTACGTCAAGCGCTTTAAGCAGGATCGTGATTAATCAATGAGCAGATTTTTCGAAACACCCTGTATACATTTTTAAAAAATCTTAAAATATGTAAAACAACAAAATAAAATATACGTATTTAAGAGTTTTTCCGAAAAACTCACCCGTTTTTAAATTAACAATATTCTAATATTTGAGGGGTGGTTTCACCCCCTTAGAATTGAAAAATCCCTTCTTATCGAACCTCTACACCCTAAAATCAATCCTTTTTCCAAAAATCAGCTTTTTACGTCAAGCGCTTTAAGCAGGATGGTGATTAATCAATTACCAGATTTTCCGAAACACCCTGTATACATTTTTTAAAAATCTTAAAATATGTAAAAACAAAAATAAAATATACGTGTTTAAGCGTTTTTTCGGAAACTTGACCGTTTTTTAAATAAAAAATATTGTAATATTTGAGGGGTGTGTTCACCCCCTTGGAACTGGAATTTCGAAAAATCCCTTCTTATCGAACCTCTACACCCTAGAATCAACCTGTATGCCAAAATTGAGTTTCTAACGTTGAGTGGTTTGAGTAGGATCGTGATTAATCAGTCAGTCAATCACTTAAGGATTTTATATAATTATTAGTGTAGATTTATCATATTATGACAAATTTTCAAATCCGGGAAAATAAGAGCAAAAATGTTGTAATTTTTTTAATTTTCCAGATGCCATTCCGCCAGACTAATTTGCCAATTTCGTAAATCAGCCAGACTTATTACTTTTGATTATAGTTTATGATAGTATCAAACGATACGTTAAATTTCAAGCACAGGAAAATAAGGGTTACGGATTTCAAAAATTTGTCAAACTTTTGCATCCACAAATTTTCAGCCAGACTGACTTTCCTCCACTTAGGATGTGCCAGATTGTTATATCCATTAATAAAATGATTCACTTTAATAAATGTCAAATATTTATGACTGGAAAAATAAGTGGACTTGTTTTTTAATTCGATGGCTATGAAATGAAGATCGCTGTCATTTTATATGTAAAATTATTTGGGAAATGCCATTGATTCGTCATTTTCCAGCCAACTGGACGCCGTTTTTTTTTCGATCATACGGTATATTCACCCACTGGGGAAATAAATACAAAAAAATGTCACATCGCGACGACAAATTCAGAAAATCTAATTACAAAGAAAACAGTTACTTTGAAATGGATAGGTATACGTTAGAGGATTTTAATTTTACAACTTAAAATTTTATTGTTTAGACCCATAAACAAGGAAAACTCTCCTTTACAGTTGCGGTTAAATATTTATAGCCTTTCTTGTCTTACTTATGCTGTAGTAGTTTGTTTGATGGTGCTCGAAATACTTCGTCACTGGCATAAACAGAATAGTCCCTTGAACCCCCTGCCAATGTAGGATAGATCTCTGATCCCTATAATAAATTTTATTAAAAGTTATTTGCTGCATTTTACGTTCATTTGTTTGATAATTGAGCATTTATAGTGTCGACTTAATTTACAATTCTTTGTAATATACAGAATGCAAATAAATAAATACGAAATAATTCAGATGATTGTATTTTAAAAAGTAAAATACTGACAAGCAGTTGTTTTTCAATTATTCATTTGGCGTTTTTTTTCCAAGGATATTTGCTCATACGCAGACAATTAATAATTGTAAAATATTCTTCTTCTTCTCGTCCGTTAACTCTCGAAAGAGTATGGTGACATCATGTCTCAATTGCTCGGATCGTTGTTCTCCATCCATCTCTATCTTGAGCGGCTATATAGAAGCCTCTTGCAGGCCGTTACCAATAATTTCTTTGGTTTGGTCCACCCAGCGCGTCGGAGATCTTCCTCTTGGTCGTTTGCTATTAATCTTCCCTTTGATTATGATTTTTTCCAGTCCATCTGTTCTTCTCGAAATGTGCCCGATGTACCTAAGGTATGACTGGTTTATTTTGGTTGAAAGTCTTGTGTTAACTTTCAACTGTCTTAGAATTGATACGTTGGTCCGATGTTCTGTGTATGAAATTCGCAGCATTCTTCTGTAGGTCCACATTTCGAAAGCATCTATTTTTCGTCTATTTGTAGTTTTCAGAGTCCAGGTCTCTGATGCATAAGTAGCGATAGGAAAGATCAATGTGCTTACTAATTTTAATTTGTTGTGATGAGATATTGCAGAGTCTTTCCATATTCGTGTTAGTTTTATACTCGAGTTACGAGCTATTGTTAGTCTGCGTTTCATTTCCTCGTCACAGCCTCCCTTGTTTGTTATGAGGTATCCGAGGTAATTGAACTTTTCAACCACCTCAAAACCATTAATCTCCCTGATGTTAGTAGGATTTCGGTCTATTATCATGACTTGCGTTTTCCTTTTGTTTAGCATAAGGCCATGTTCCGCACTGATCTTACTCAACCTTCTCATTATATGAACAAGTTCTTCCTCAGAGCAAGCAAGAATTAAGGTGTCATTGGCATACCTAAGGTTTGTGATCTTTTTCCACCTATCGTTAGTCCGCCTTGCAAGCCCTGTAAGACTTTTCTCATTATGTACTCTCCATAGATGTTGAAGAGTATGGGTGATACTATACAACCTTGTCTCACACCACGTTTCGGACTAAAAGACTTAGAGAGAGCGTTGTTGACTTTGACTTTTCCGGAGCTGTCTTCGTAAAGATTTGTAAGTAGAAATATAACATGTGTTTTGGTACTCCCATGTTTTCTAATACCAGCCATAGCTTCTTCCACTTTACACAATCAAAAGCCCTACTGTAGTCGACGAAACATAAATACGTTTTAACATTAAATTCATATACTTTTTCAATTATTTGCCTTACATTTAGGATCTGTAAAATATTACCCAAGTCTAAATTTATTAGATCATCATTATCATCATCATCATTTACAGCTTATTCAACCATTTCTAATTATTGTGTAACTTTCGGGATGTTCCGCATGAGCCAGACTATATAATTATAATATAAATTATAATCTGACAATTTTTTAGGACTGCGAAAATAAGGGCAATGGTTTCAATAATTGTTATCCAATTTTTCACCCGCCAGACAGCACCAAAATCTCTCACTAATAGAAGTATTTTTATCGCTGGAAAAAAGTGCAGTATATTTGTATTTTCCAACGCATTTTCCGCCTCAAGTCATCGGAACCTTAGGACCAGGTTTGCTCTATGAATCAATTTATCTACCGGGAGCCAATCCAACAAACTTAGCATTGTTTTTATAGGGGTATATTTACAGTTTACTATAATACACGTTACTTTATTTTGTTGAATTTGCAACCAGCCTAACTCCTCCCGTGTACATAATATTAATAGTGAACTACAATAATTATTGAAATGAGGTAATATAATAAAACTAGCGTGTACCCGCGACTTCGTTCGCGTCGAATTAATAATTTGTAATGGTGATGATAAAGCAAATCAGAATTTCCATTAACATACAAACTGGATAACATTTTCTCACATTTATGTCAGCATGAGAAAAACAATCGAGAAACTCCCCCTCATCGAACACCCCACAGTCGATCCGTTTGCCAAAAATCTGCTTTAAATGTCAAGCAGTTTAAGCAGAATTATGATTACTCAATGGTCATATTTTATGAAACAGCCTGTATAAAATTTTAAAAAATCTTAAAATATGTAAAAAAACAAAATAAAATATACGTGTTTAAGAGTTTTTCCGAAAAACTCACTGGTTTTTAAATAAAAAATATTCTAATACTTGAGGGGTGGTTTCACCCCCTTAGAATTCGAGTTTCGAAAAATCCCTTCTTATCGAACCTCTACACCCTAGAATCAACCTGTATGCCAAAATTGAGCTTCTTACGTTGAGTGGTTTGAGCAGGATCGTGATTAATCAGTGTGTCAGTCACTTAGGGATTTTATATATTTAGTATGGATTGCGACTTCCTTGTCCACGGTGATAAATTATTTGACATACGCCGAAAGAATCCTAATTTTTTACCTAATTTTTTACAAAGATAATCAACCTGTTTAGAAAAACCTAGATGTGGGTCCAAAATACTCCCTTGCTTACTCTCCTTGTAGTTGTTGTCTATTGTTAGTTATGAGGGCCCAAGTTATCCCTGCTAATTACCTAATATCATGGTCCCATCTCAGGTTCGGTCTTCTTCTAGGTCCCTTAAATCCTCGCGGATACCATGCTGTAATTTTTGAAGTCCATCTGTGGTCCGTTCTTCTTGCCAGGTGTCCTACCCATTGCTATTTGAGGGATTTGACTCTGTGGATGACATCTATTACCTGGGTCTTTTGTCGTATCCACTCTATTCTTTTACGGTCTCTCTTGGTTATTCCGAGGTTATTCCCAGCATATTATTTCGTTTCATTGAGCGTTGTGCAACCTGCAGTTATTCTTATGTTGTCCGTTTTAAGTGTCCAGGTTTCGGATGCGATGTGTGATGTTTCAATATACGAGGTGTTTTCAAGGAACGTAATATAGGGACTCCTGTATATAGATTATCAAAAAATACACTTTTCAGAGATTATGTTAAGATTATCAGTTTTTAAAAAATAAATTTCGGGGCTCTTTCCTGTTCTTTAAATTATTTCGATATGGAAATTCTTTGATGTTCTATATATTTTGGCATGGTTTCATTCATCAGTAACTATGATATTGATACCTAAATAAACAAAATCGTGACATTTTCCAACAAAACACAAATTTGTATATTTATGTAAAATAATTAATTGTGTTTATAATTATATTAACATTTCCTTGATAAAATATCACTGGTGTAATATATACTACCTAAAATTACCTTTTACTTATACTTTATATGTAAACTTTTACTCATACAAGTTAAAGTCAAAAATTCACGCTAAAAAATAGAATAATGAACTTACAGACGCTAGGATTTTTCCCATTTCTTATTAACTTACTTATTCAAGCAAACATCTTGAAAATTATCAATTATCAGTACCTATTCGTTGTACTTACTTACTTTACCGTATGATCGAAAAAAAATGGCTTCTAGTGGAAATGATTGTCGGTGACATTCCCCATATAATTTTATATATAAAATTACAACTCAGTCATATTCAATTCTAGAATGCCACTCTATCTAAAGAAGAAAACATTCGACCAATATGTACTACCAGTCATGACGTACACACAACGCTCAATGGAACGAAATATGCTGGGAATAACCAAGAGAGACCATAAAAGAATAGACTGGATACGACAAAAGAGCCAAGTAATAGATGTCATCCACAGAGTCAAATCCCTCAAATTGCAATGGGCAAGACACCAGGCAAGAAGAACGGATAACAGAAGGACCACAAAAATTACAGCATGGTACCTACGAGGAATTAAGAGACATAAAAAAGACCAAACCTGAGATGGGACCATAATAATAGTAAATTAGCAGGGATAACTTAAGCCCGCATAGGAAACAATGAACAACAATAGGCCCAACTACAAAGAGAGTAAATATGCGAGGGAGGCTACAGTATAATTGGAAATGCTTGGATAAGCTGAAAATGATGATGATGATAAAATGACAGCGAACTTCATTTCTAATTTATCTCTGAAGCAGTTTTTTTTTCGATCGTACGGTATCACTACTGATTACTAACATTTTGTAAGATTAATAATAATTTTTTTCGTGTAAATCTAGGTACCTTTTAGAGGTGCGAATAATTATTTCTTTTCGTTATAAAAACAGAGAAGTTAATACATAGTATAAGACTTATTCTAATACCCTAAATCCTAAAGAATAATTATATTAATAATGCAATGTTGTTTTTTCAGGATAGAAATTCGGCCGGATTTTGGAAATGGTACCACACAAGGAACGGAAACCATCACGTTTCAACCAGCAGAAGATACAGATACTATTACGTTCCATGCAAATAAAATAGACATAGACTCGCAATCTCTAGATATTAGATCTTCAGATGGACAAAATGGTGGTAAGATATCAACTTGTGTCATAGATCATCTATTTTGGATTATTTTTTTGATATTTGTATCATTTCTCATTCTTTAATATATCTTATGTTGGAGTTAGTCAATCTACTTGCATTTGCATTAAACATTAAATCCAGCAATTATTTCTGACATACTCTCAACCAGCACGAAAAACGGGCACCTTAAAATTTTCACGTATTTTAAAGCTTTGTATATTCTGTTCTAGTTAACCGATTTAGATATTTTTTGAAGCAATTTCTAGCTAAATTATTTGACTTTTGAGTATCTCTTTCTAAATGAAGAACCCAAGTTACCGTCTGTCAATTATACGAGGGAAAACAAAATCTTGATATTTTAGTGAAAGTTTGAAACACCCTGTGGAGTATATTAGCAAACCAAGGAAATTAAAAATTATTTTATCATCTAGGTGTATGTTTTATGGATAGTTTGTTTTTTGGTTCATCTCAATAGCTTCATTTTTTTGGAGATATTCGCTTTTGAGGAAGACAACATTTTTTCGAATTTTTTACATTAAAGTCATGCATTTGCTTTTGGTTCCAGTCAACAAACCTATAAAATAATGTTTATGATTTATGTAATCCCACTGTACTGGAACCAAACAGCACAAATAAAATTGGCCAATACCATGTCCAATCCCATACAAGTTAGAAGGGGGTGCGAAAGGGTTGCGTGCTGTCTCCACTCATATTCAATTTATACTCAGAGGCTATTTTCCAAGAGGCTCTAGAGGAGTCAAAGTTAACGGAGTGTGGATTAATAACATCGCTACGCCGACGATACGGTCTTGATTGCAGATAATATACACGATCTACAACAACTGGTCAACAAGGTAGAAGAACAGAGTAAAGCAATGGGCTTAAGCTTGATTTTCATGCATCTGTTATACGTTGATACGTCGGTCCGACGGTGCTCTGATTGGCCAAAGCGTTTTCGCGCTACTTTTCATCAGTAAATATTTTACTTCAGCCCGTCAACGGACCCGTTCATACGATAACGGACGTTTTGACACTTTTTTGACGAATTTAATCTAACCTTAATAAAAATATAAGTAAAATAGCAAAATCGTTATGGAAATGAAAATATAAAATGACACCAACGTATATCCGGTAAACGGAGGCATGAAAATGCAATAAATTTAAAAACTGCGTTATTTTCTAACCAATGAAAGTCTTTAAATTCTACCAATAAAATTAATATCGTATCAACGTATCGTCGGACAACGGATGCATGAAAATCAAGCTTTAAACATAAACATCAAGAAAACTAAATTTATGATAATATCCAGAAATCCAGATGTGTTTAAAAACTCCATTATAACATTTAAAACAAGGCCCATAGAGAGGGTAGATAAATTTAAGTATTCGGGCATCTGGCTCTCCGAAGATTGGACATCAGACAAGGAAATTAAATGTCGCATCGAACAAGCTCGGCAGGCATTCTTGAGGTTCTGAAAAGTACTTGTCTGTTCTGATTTTGACCATAACCTCAGATTAAGATTCGTAAAATGTTAGTGTGGTCGGTGCTACTTTATGGTATGGAAGGTTGGACATTGAAAGCAGCTGCCATTAATAAACTAGCGGCTTTCGAGATGTGGCTATATCGCAGAATTCTGAAGATACCTTGGATGGCTAGGTTAACAAATGAGGAAGTTCTGAGACGTGTCAACAAACAGCGCGAATTTTTGAATTGATTAAGAAGAAAAAAACGCATACTTGGGGCACATAATGTGAAACCCCAAATATCAATTCTTGCATCTGGTAATCGAAGGCCGGAGGGGTATCGGAAGGAAGAAAATGTCTTGGCCGAGGAATATTAGACAGTGGACAGGCTTACACGATGTACAGTCGTTAATAAACACCGCCAGGAATAGAGAAGCGATAGAAAATGTTATCGCAAATATCCATTAATGGACTTGCACTAGAAGAAGAATGCCACTGTCTTTGAAAAATTATATTATTATTGTCTGTTGGGTAGTTACTTTAGCAGATATGGTTGTAAGTCCAAAAGTTGATCTCTACCATGATCAATTAAAGCAGCAATAGACGATACTTCTGAACTTAAAACCATCTCTACTAAATATTAGATCTCTCATGTCAATTCGTTAGAGCAGACCAAAAATAAATAATAGTTAGAGCAGACCATAAACAATAATAATATGAATTTTTAATGACAGTGACATTACAAAAGTAATATACAGTATTTTATAGTCGTGTTGATGAGGTAATATCTCCAATAGAAATAAAGATATTGAAATGAATAGGCGTACTTGGATGATAAAATTTTTAAATTCTAGATTGTTAAATTCCTTACTTTGTTTTAACTTCGTTTTAAATCGGCCCACTAGAAAAAAATATATTAAACTTTAAAATGCATCAAAATTTTAGGGTGCCCGTTTTTTCGTACCGGTGAGTGTATTTTAAAAGTAAAATACAACAAATAAATATTAATATCTTATAAAATATGATCGAAAATAAAACAGCGTCATCGAAGGCTTTGAAATGAAGATCGCTGTAATTTTATATATAAAATTATATGGGGAATGTCATCGATCGTCGGATTTTTGAAATACGAAAAAGTTTCTACATTGAGTAAGAAATTTTTCCTTAAAAATTAATTTTTAGATTCTCTACCAATCAGATCTCACGACTACTTAGAAGGACAAAGATACAGGATAGTTGTCGATCAGAAACTGAAAAAAGACAAAACGTACTCTCTAAATTTAAGATACCAAGGCGAACTGAACAATCAGCTGCAAGGATTTTATAAAAGCCATTACCAGTCACCTTCTGGAGAGACCAGGTCATATCTTTTATATCTTTTTTTTATTTTGACATTTACCAGAGGTTATTTTACTTGTAGAATCGCTGCCAGTACTCAATTTTCACCTACTGATGCCAGGAGAGCATTCCCATGCTTCGACGAGCCGTATTTTAAGGCGAAATTTACCATACGATTGGCTAGGCCTGGAAACATGTCGACATTGTCCAACATGCCTTTGGAAAGAAGCGAAATATTACCGTAAGTGCCTAGATTAGCAATAAAATAAATGTATACAGGATGTCCCAGCTCTCCGAAAAAACTCTAGACTAACACGGGGTGAGTGCAAATATTTTTAGGGGTGGTATTTTCGACCCCAAATATATGAAGTTTTTTTCGCAAAAAAAGATGTTGAAAATCGTGCATTTTCTTATAAATTCTTGCATTCAGCATTCAGCTGCATTCCGGAAACTTCGGCAGCATATTCTGCAGATAAAAATAAGTAAAAAAGTTCGTATAAATGTTTGTCCAAAAATGCTTAGTTTCGGAGTTACAGGATGATGAAATTTCATTTTTATATCGATTTTTTCCAAGTAAAGTCAATATTTGGATGAAAATTGGTGTCTGGAAGTTTTTTAACATGAGAAATTTGATTTTGACGTCAATATGACTCCTATTTGTACAGGGCGCCACCTACATATTTTTAACTGGTTTGAAGAGTAATAAATGTTAGTCCGTATCTGTATAAATATACTGAGTAAAAAAATATACATTTGCGACTTTTTTACATAAAAAATGTCTCTTGGTAAAAATCGCTACGAGTAATGGTCGGTAATGGTTCTCCAGATATTTGGAATCGAAATTATTAATACCTGTCATCATTGACATAAATCAAACATGTTGACTAAATAGTTATTGGGCTGAAATCATAAATTTGAAATGATTTTGTGTCAAAAGTTCAACAGAATGCAGAAAGTTTTCATCTAAATAGTGACGTTATTTCGGAAATTATTTGGAAAAAATCGAAATACAAATGGAACTTCTACATACTGTATATCCGAAACTAAGCAATTTAGGACATACATTTATACGAACTTTTTTACTTATTTTTATCTGTAGAATATGCTGTTGAAGTTTACGGAATACAGTTCGGACCACCCTGTATTTTAGAAAACTTTTTAAACCAGCTGAAAATTTTTTAAACTTTTTGGCCAAAGTTACGGCACTAAAAGGGATGCAATAACATAAAAGATCCGGTGGCTATCAAAATTTTTAAAAGTAAATCATTTTTTTTTACTTTTAAACTTGAATAATTGTTTTTTTTTTTGGACTTATTTGAAAAACGGTAAAGATAAAATATCTTTGTTTTATCGAGATCTACCAGCCCTGAAAATATTTGCACTTGTAAAAGACCTTACCGTGTATATTAGTTGGCTAAAATCTTTTTATACAAATATTTCTCTTAATAAACAAAAAAGTATTTTTAATGGAATATGTTTTATTAGCTCAATGGATTTGTTATTAAATTCTCATTCCAAAGATACTTCGGAAGTATCATGTCAGCAAACTATAGCACGGTGTTTATTCTAAAGAAACATCATCATTAAGCATGTCTAGGCAACTTAATTTGTTTTTCTTAAATCTGTTGGTCTTAAGACTTATACTGAAGGAGTCTTCTTGGCATGTCAGGATGGTATAATATAATACTCTCGTGCACCGCCGTCAGTTTACTGACATTGTGGACATAGTGCATCTACTATCAGTATGACAGTATGTCCAGCATATGCTGCCACAAGTTACATCTACTGACATAAAGCCGAACTTAGAGAGCTCTATTACCATTTGAGATATTTATTTGAAACACATTTTATTTACAACCACATATGTAATACTGAAATTACTGACTTTTAAAATATTTGAAAGTGTCAAATTATCTACATTTCTTCCCTCTTTTATTTCCCTCACCCATTTCCCTCACTCGGTTTTTCTTATTGCTCGCCTCATTTAATTAAGCAAAATAGTCTTGTAATATCTTTATTAAATACTTATCTAACATCAACAAAACTAAACAAGAAGATTAACTATAACAATTGAAGATTTTAATACATTTATTTGTTGAAGGTAAAAATGCTAGACTTTTTTGGCTTAAAACCTACATTTTGGCGTTTTAAAAAAGCGACGAGTTTGTGATATTTTGATATGTCAGTCTTTTCCCTTAATTCTAGCATTGTCCGTATGTTTCTGTACGTAGCCCAAAGAGTAGATGGCTTTTTCTGCCTTGCCATGTCGCTAAAATATACCATCAAGACTGTCTCCGAAGCAATATTCTTAGCATTTTTTTCGGCACACCATTTTTCGTATACTTTCAATGCTATAGTAAACGCCACGAATGTTTGGGAGTGATTTATCGGTCGCTACCATGTGAACTAATCTGTTCAAGGTCACATAAAACTTAATTCCAGTGCCGTGGTGTTTCAAGTCATCTAATAATCAATATAATTCACAATTTGTTGTTTTAACTATCAAAGTCTCGTCAAAACATATATCATTATAACAGCAAATGGAATGCCCCATTGGTTGCACTAAGGTCGCACTGCAAGCACATCAATGGACTGACGCACAAAACGAATCAATCAAAGAAACGCGATATAGTATCGTCTTTGTCAATCATGCCAACATTTTAGAATAAGTAGGAGGAGCGCAGGTAGATGATTAGACTGGGCGTTTAAAAACCTACGTCTGCGGTAAAAATTTACGTTTTTAAAGTAAAAATGCTAAAAATCATAGCGCGCTTGTCGATTCTAACTTCATCAAGCGATGAATCACTCCCAAACATTCGTGGCGTTTACTATATTTCATATCGCCCCCTACTTTTCTCTGGAAGTAAACTGGCTTCTGCTCTTTTTGCAGCTTCTGTAAGTTCTGGTGGAGTACCAATATTAAAGTAGTCTTCATTATCAGAACTTTCCGACAAATTTGGCTTTTATAGTATAAATTGAAAAACGAACGAGAAATTCAAAACTGTCACATAGTTGTTTGTTTTGCTGTTGAAGGTTTGCGCCATAACAACCACTGGTACCGGTAACTATAGATATGGAAATGCCAAAACAGAATTTTCGCATATTTTTTTTTTCAAAAATAAAATACTGTTCCTATTTTTTAATTAATGATGTGGTTGTAAATAAAATAGATTTTTTATTAAAAAAAGAAGTTTTTCATTGTTGTCTGAGATTTAAGCATCTCGACGCTACGCCTCTCGATTAACAATATCAATCTCTCTACAGTAATGAAACACTTTCCTCCTCGGTATGTAATATTATTGAAACAAAAGATTGAGGTGGAAGTCTCACACAGGAAAGTTGACTTTTTCGGAACACTAACTGGGTCATCCTATAAAATAAGAAAAATGACTTGATGAAAGATGCAAATTTTTACATCATAATAACTTACTTTTTTATATATCTGCTTAGAACAGTGGAAGGTGCCTGGTATTGGGACAACTATCCCGAAACACCCGAAATGCCTACATACTTAGTTGCATTTGTCATGAGTGACTTAATATCTATGCAATCATCCGATAGAAATATTAAAGTCTGGGCCAGAAAAGAATATTTATCTCAGACGAATTATGCTGCTAACATTGCCCCAACAATTTTGAGATACTTTGAGGATTATTTCAGGTAAATAAAATTAAATATTTTTAAAAGTGTCTCTTCATTTGAAGGTGTCTGCGATTTAGATTTATTTCGTGAAGGTGACCATCGAGTTTGCAGTATCCGGTTGCATTGACCAGTTACACTGGTCTGCAAAAAAATTGGTCACGAGTAATACGTAACTGAACGGCGGCTACTGAG